TTTTAAAGAACACCTTCACCTCCAAGGTTACTCAAAAAGTACCAATGTCATTCGTTCATTCACTCACTCACTCACTCAATAAATATTTACTGAGTGCCTGTTACAGGCATTGTGCTAAGCACAACAGGTATAATAGTAAGCAAAATAAACACAGGCCCTGACCTCCTGGAGGTGATAAACAAATATCCCACATATAAACTTGTGCAATGTGAAATGGATGACGATGATGGCAGCAACTGACATGGCACAGCCCATGAGGTCATTTTCCAATCTCCTCATTTTACAGACAACTTCAAGGCACAATAGTTAAGTGATACTTAGGAGTCATAAGGATAGTGGGTCCCCGGGTAGTGGAAACAGTTAATGCACTTGGTTGCGAACTGAGAGGTTGGAGATTTGAGTCTACCCAGAGATGTCTTAGAAGAAAGTCCTGGTGACCTACTTCCAAAAAATCAGCCATTGAAAACCCTATCGAGCATAGTTCTACTCTGACAAACATGGGGCTGCCATGAGTCAGAACTGACTCGACAGCAACTGGTTTAGGGATAGTGGAGGAGCTACAACTACTCTACCATGAATTCCAGTGCCCTTTCAAATAATGAAGTAACTCTGGGTTTAAATATCCATTTCATCTTTTACTCAGTTAATTTCTTTGAGCCTCAGATTCTACAGCTATAGAATGTAGAATGGGAATAACAACACTCCCAGAGTTGCTGTGAACTACTAATATATGAAAAGTTTATCATTGTCTGGCACATAGTACATATTCAATAAATGGTAAATATTATTTTTCCCCATCTTGGAACTTATTCATTAGACAGGAATTGAATAATTGTGATCTTCTCCCTTGTTTTCATATCACCGGCACAGATTCCTTGGAATGCCCAAGTTACTTCTTTCCTCATCTACTTAATTATTACTTTTATTGATATGATCACGCCCAGAACTTTCTTCTGAACTCCAGACCTGTCCATTCAACTGCTTACTCAACATCTATAACTGGTTGTCTGAAAAGCACTCAGGAGTTCATGGGTGATGCAAACAGCTAAGTGCTCAATTACTAGCCAAAAGGTTGGTGGTTTGAACCCACCCAGAGGTGCCTTGGAAGATAGGCCTGGCAATCTGTTTCTGAAAGGTCACAGCCTTGAAAACCCAATGGTGCAGTTCTACTCTGTACACGTGGGGTTGCCATGCATTGGCAACCAACAACAACAACAACAAAAAGCATCGCAATCTTATCATGTTTAAGCTTTTGATACCCCTACTTCCAACAACAAAACAAAAAAACCCTGCTACTCTTATAGCTTGCTCAATCTCAGTTATGGCAGCTTCATTTTTCCAGTTGTACGTATAAGACAAAAGCATTGACGTTACCCTCAATTCCTTTCTTTCTCACCCACAGCAAATTCTGTTTGCTCTATCTTTAAGATATATGTCCAAAATAGGACAATTTCTCTCTACCTCCGTTGCTACCATCCTGGTTCAAACCACCATTAACTCTCACCTAGACCGCTGTAATGGTCTCCTAACTGGTTTGCCTCTCCCACTCTTGTCCCGCTACAACCTATTCTCAACAAAGAGCCAGAGTAATGCTGCTAAACTCAAGTCAGATCATGTCATCTCTCTGCTCAGACCCTTCAGTGGCTTCCCTAACTCATTGTCCAAGTAAAAACCCAAATTCTGCACAGGGATCTACAAGGCCCCACATGATTTGCCTCCCTCCTTATTTTACTTCCTTCCTTTATTGACTTCACTATTACTTGAGCACACCAGGCAAGCTACATCATCATCAGGGTCTTTGTACTTGCTATTCCCTCTGCCTGGAATATTCTTCTCCCACACATTCATATAGCTAGTTCTCTCACTTTTTTTAAAGATCTTTACTTAAAAATAACCTCAGTGAGATCTTCTTTGGCCACACTATCTAAAATTTCTACCTCTTAACCCTTTCATATTTTCCTTCTCTGCTTTGGTTTTTTTTTTTTTACCCTTAATACTTACCATTCTACGTGTTAAGTACATATTTTACTTATTTGTTTTATTTCTTGCCTATTATCTCCACTAGAATGTAAACTCAGTGAAGGCAGGGAATTTTATCTGCTTTGTCACTACTCTAAGACAGTTTTTAGATTCCAGAACAATGCTTGGCACATAGTGGGTTTTCAATAAACATTTTTTAAGTGAAAGAAAAACCCTCAAAAGCCTTCATTTGTACTTCAACACGCCTAGAGATCACAGGGTCCTTATCTCCTTTTCTAACCCCAGGCCTGCTGCCTTACTACTCATTCAAACTCAATGACTCATCACTTTTTACCAGGTAGCCTCTCTCAGATACCTGAAATTTTCAGCCTGTCGAGACTACCAATTTTCCTTATTCCCTTCCTCAAACATAGGTTGAACTATTTAGTCTTCTAAGAATATAAGCTTCCTAAACCTAAAGATAGAAAGTGAAGTAAGATATCAACTTATGATCAGGAATTTTGTAAATTCTTCTGAGTATCAAACTTACTTCTGGTATACACTATACATAGTTTTATTTAAATTGTTTGTACTGTATATGAAGAAGTTATTTATTATTCTTTTCCCGTATCAAATGCGTGTTTGTTTTATAATAAACTGTGAAAAGAAACAGCCTATCTGATTAATATAGTTGGTGGAATAAACCAACATTCCAGTATCAAGTACTAACTGAACAGGATTATTCCAAAACCCAAACTCACTACCATCGAGTCGATTTCAACTCATAGCAACCCTACAGGACAGAACTGAACTGCCCTATAGGGTTTCCATGGCTGTAAATCTTTACGGAAGCAGACTGCCACATCTTTCTCACGTGGAGCTGCTAGTGGGTTCGAACTGCCCACCTTTTGGTTAGCAGCTGAGCGCTTTAACCACTGCAGCACCAGGGCTCCTTGAATAGGATTATGGTGGAAATAAAACAATAATGTATGTGTTAAACTTAAAACACAGATCTTTAGGTTTGAAAAAGTGGTTAAAAAACCTGTTGAGAGTATATTACCAGATTTTAGCAAGTGAAGATAAAGAAGAAAAGGCTTAGAAAGTGAGAAGCAGACATTACATGTGTGTATTTTAAAAATTTGTTTTTTAATCAAGTGAAATTTTAATTACTAAAGTTAGTATTAGTTTGAATTACTATGTTTACTTGTCTTGCTTTGATTTATTCATCAAACATTACCCTATCAATTACGAACCAGATACAAGAGCTATAAAAATAATTAAAAACATGGACCTTGCCTCACATCTAAGCAGATATATAAACAAAAAATTACAATACAGTGTGATAAATACAATGATAAAGTATAAAGTTAAGAGAAACCATACTTACATTAAAAAGTTGTTTTTCAGCATATGTTCTAATCTATCCTTGGTGAGAAAAGAGGAAAAAGAAAATTATTCAGTATAATTATACTCATTATATATAATTAACCTATTTAAAGAGTAGAAGAATTCTGCTTTATCCACAAAACTATTTACCTTTTGGCCAGGAGCTATGAATTTATGACAGAGTTCAACATCTTCAGGACAATTTGACAGAACCATCATTAAGGTAGTCTTGAAGAGCCCCTCCATAACCTATAGAGAAATGACAGAATTGCCTGACAAGTAAGCAGCTTTATATGAAAAACTCGTTCAGGGCTCTGAAAGGACTGCCCTCCACCTTTCCAGCAACTATAAATCCATTAGGCCTCTTAATCCCTAAATGTACTAAAGCAAGTAAATTCAGTTTTCCAGATTTATTAGAAGAAACATCTCAACTTTTGAGATGAGGTGGGGGCGGGGGGAGAAAGAAAAATGTTCAAACAGTTTCAATACTGGTATTAAAGTGGGATGTCAAATGAACAACTAAAAGTCACTGGTGCCTCCCTAAATTCAACTACCCTCATCTGTAGAATCAGGATAATAACAGTACCTAGCTTACAGGATTGTTGTGAGGATTAAATGAGATACTTCATGTGTAAGTCTTAGCTTAGTACCTGGTTCAGAGAAGCACACAACAGACATTAGTTGTTGTGAAGGGTAAGAGAACTTTGAGAAGTGGATCAGTTATATGAAATTAAAAAATGCAGAAAACAAATAGGTTTTGAATAGTTTCTCTTTTTTGGCAGAGTAAACTTTATAATTAAAAAAGCAATGTGCTATACCTAGATATAAATATGTACGTTTTTGCCTTCCTTAAGCAAAAAGTAAAAATAACACAAGTAAGCATAGAACACAAATTAGTATATAAGAATTCATTCTACCAGGCTTATTCATGGCAGCTTCAAGGGAGAAACTTCCTCTTAGAAGAAAAAAGTAACTGAGATGGAAAATATTCTTAATAACTTTTTAATCCGAGTTAAAACTTTTGGTTTGAAATCAGTGAGATCAGATAAACCAAAACCAAATCAAACTTGTTGCTGTCAAGTCGATCGCAACTCATAGTGACCCTACAGGACAGAGGAGAACTGTCCCAGTGAGTTTCCAAGGAGTGGCTGTAGATTCGAACTGCTGACCTTTTGGTTAGCAGCCATAGCTCTTCACCACTGCACCACCAGTGCTCAACAAAGAAAAAGAAGATCCCTGCCTTTGAGGCAGCCTATACTTCATGCACGTATGTATCTTTATGAGTACAGCACTTGAAGGGCCTTATATGATCTCTCAGGAAACCCTGGTGGCATAGTGGTTAACTGGATTCTACTCTGTCCTGTAGGGTCGCTATGAGTCGGAATTGACTCCAAGGCAATGGGTTTGGGTTTTGGTTTCACTGGTACATCCTATCAAGGCTGGAAACACAGTAGGGGCATAATTGTCTACTAAAGTAACTGAATGTGATTACATATAGGACTGTACTTAAATAAAAAGTGACAACCAGATGTATTTTATAATGCTTCAGTCTTCATTAGTGGCATTTATTACAGATGTTTTGCAATGCTATACTGCATTCCTGGTTTGTTCTCTTATCTTCCATTTCTATGTTCTATTCAACCAACATGTATATCTAATATGGTGATAAAAAACTGGCAAACCTATAGGTATCTAAAGCACTGACCGTGTAAAATAGCAATGACAATTACTTTGGGAGATGGAAAAACAAGTTGGAATCAAAAGACTTGACCACAGTAAGCATGAAACTGAAGGGAGTAAACCGAACTAAAGCAGATATTTCTAAGGAGCTGGTATTAAGGAGGGGAGAGATGTTTTAATCTAGACTTCATTTAAGGAATTCGTGTTAAAAATGTAAATCATTAAAATAATAGAAACATAATATATAAATTCCAAACCAGTGGAGAAAGAGAAAGGAAAACAAAGAAAACCAGATGAATTTAAGGAGTAACTTGATGATAAGGGAAGAACAAAAAGGAGGCTATAGTTGCTTTTCTTTGAAGCTGTATCACCTTCATTTACAGTGAGATAAAGAAGTCACTAAGTAACTGAATGATTTATGAAGGGTCATATCCCTTAATCATTAAATAAAACTGAGGCATAATGGGAGGAGAAAAGAGCAGACAGTATGCCTTCACTATTGAGGGACACAATACACCTATGTATAAGATGGAGACTTTGACCACTGGGGTGGTTAAATTGGTGTCTTTCATGGGTAGTAAATTTCCATTTGAAGAAGAAAATCATTGGCTTCCCTAACCTTGACATTCAGATTATGACCTATAAACATATTTGAAGAAAAGAGAAACTTAACTGAAGGATTAACGTATCTTTCAGATGTTTTTAAAAAAATGACTGCTCAGCAGCACTAAAACAGTAACACTTAATTGCTTATAACTCATGACGGAAAAAAATACTTTGTCACAACATTCTGATTTAATATTTAAAAGACCACTATGCATCATCATAATAATTTCCACAAAATGTAATTAAGAAAGTCAAAAAATGAAGAGAAATAGAAGTTTTTTTTTTTTTCTTTTTGGGAAGGGGTGCACACTTTTTCTCCTGTCTTCAGGAAAAAAGTGTATATTCTAATTAATTAAATCATTCAGCAATGTATGCCTTGAGCACCAGTCAATGGAATTCTAAATAAATAAGAACTCAAGTAGCAAATCCCTTGACAACAAAACTTGAATATTCTTGTTTATCTCACTATGTTCCTATTTATTATTAGCTTCATGAAGGTCAGCTTCAAGATTCTTTCTTATTTGTCATTCAAATCCTTTAACATGAGAGAAAACTCCTGTTCAGGTTAGGTGACTACTTAAAATTCTGTTGGACAAGAATTAACTGGAGTTAGAAGAGTACTTGGAAGGATATATCACAACACAATTTGGATTAGCTAAGTATTCTTAATTAGTATTATTTAGTTTTACTGCCTGACAAACATCAATGAAACATAATTCAGCACTATAAACAGCAACTTGAAATAATCAACTCTGAGGCTCCACATGACATACTGATTGTGTTGGCCTGCCACCACAGAAACCATATTTTACAAACCCCAAATGGAGATACAAAGTCTAACAACAGTAATAAATTACATAAAATATGCATGAGATTTCTATACCAGAAAGGAAATGTTGGGTCACAAAATTAGCCAGAAACCTTCAGTGTAACTATAAAATGGACTGCCTAAACTGAGATACTTTTGAGAGTGAAAAGAGAAAACAGTAATAATTAAGCCAGTCCCCCACCCCCACCCCCAAGCTGGCCAAGATGGAGCAAGTGACTACAGCCTCTCTCTCCAACTAATTACAACTAAAAGATCTGGACAGAATACAAAACT